GAATACGTATCTAAGGTCACAGATCACTTTCCAATTCAAACACATCAATATCCAAACATCATTCATATCACATAATTATTGATGGCGCCACGGGACCAATCGCATGCCCCGAACATGAGGGTTAATGCGTATAGCATTAACACGGCCCCGCAGCACCCTACCTCATACCGCAGCATGAAGGGAGTTGATCGCAACCAACCCATAGAGGACCGCTGACGAACTCAACGTCGGACCACCTACACACCGCTGACGCGCACAGTCGGTAGACCGTGATCCCCTTTACAAGGGGGGACGTACGACCCTACACACCATTGATGCGTACAGTCGGTGGATCGTAGCGGATCAAGCCCTACACACCGCTGAGGGACTCAGTCGGTGGGCGAAGATCCTCGGAGACTACGACCCTACACACCGCTGTCCCGTCACTCGGTGGATCGCAGCCAGCCATAGCCCTACACACCGCCTGATTACTCAGGTCGGTGGACTACAACCTTCCTCGGCTTATTGGCCATACACACTGCTTGGCGCGTGTGACACCCCAAAATCCAAATTCAATTAATGGGTTAATAGAGTAATTAATCCTATTTCAATTCTGGAATTAATTCCTAAAATCCTGAAATTCAATACTTGAGGACTAGTATTTGACTAGTCAACTCCAAAGTCTAGTTGTACCTTTGAGCTTTGAAGGGAGTTCCCTTGTTCCTGTAAGGGCATTCTTGACCTTTCACCTAGTGTTAGTATTGTAACCTAACCTAGTAGACATCTTCATTCTATCCCTTACACTTTCTAAAAATTAAGCTCTACCTTCTCTCTAAAAAGGTGAGTAGCTTTTCTTCCAAGCCAAGTTGAGACCTTGCCAAGACTTCAAGAGTTGCTTCCGATATTCAACCTTTCTTATATTTGGGCATTTAGGAGGGTAAGATCTAAGTCCATCTTGTGTTTTTGGTTTCATCTTAGGTGTCTTTTCTTAATGGTAGGATCTTTATGATCTTTTGGTTTGTTCTTGAAGTGGGTTTGGAAGGTGAGCCTTGAGAAGAGCTTGTTAAGGTGTAAAGTGAAGTCTTTTAGTCTTCAAGAGGTAACCCATGCTCTACAAAATCTATTTTGCTTACCTATATGTGATTTCTTGGATTCTACATGTGTTTTTGCTATGAAATGTGAGTGTTGATGCATGATCTTGTGAAAATGCATATCTAGAGCTTGTGTTTAAGGTTCTTGTGTGCCATTGCTTGGCATTTCCTTTGATTCAAGTCATTTTGTTGTATTTGGTGAGATTTGGCATGTTTTGGACTTGAATTTGAGTTGGAGATGAAACATTCGCGAAGTGGTATTTTGTGGTACAGGACATGTACCCGCGGGAAGAACGGCGGGCGGGGCACCACCCGTCGCCCCACCCGCGGGTACAAGGCTTGTGGGAAGAGTGTTCCCGCGGGCGGAACCACGGGCGGGGCACCACCCGTGGGTCCACCCGCGGGTACACAAGTGGAGTTGTTTGGGGGATTTGTTCCCCGTGATTCTTTTGATTCGGTATTTGGTCTTTTGACTTCCCGATGTTCTTTTGTGGAACTATTTGAGTGTCTTCTTGATGTTTCGTATGTCTAGAACTATGTGGTAGGTATCCATGTAGGTTTTTGGTGTCTTGAATCGTGCTAAGTGTTCAATATTGTGTTTCGTTGAACCGTGATGAGTCTTGTGTGTTCTTCGGAACTATGTTTGGTTTACTCGTTTGATAAGCATGCTAGTTCGGTGTTTAAATACTAGCGTGTGTGTTGTTTGTACCTTCCTATTGGTTGATGATAACTTGTGTTATTCATCGTTGTTGTTGTTGGGCTGTGTCCCATTCCTTGATTGAGTATGGTTTCATATATTCGTTGTGATCCGTTGATTGATTCCTATTGTGGTGTGACGTGTCTGTGGCTTTACTTGGATTGCACGATTAGTGGTATGGGACACTAGTCACCAAGGTATTGAAGCGGTCCTCGTGGTGGCCGTGACGTGATTATGGAGTTGTGGCCTGAGTGATGGGTCCACGTGATTCTTGGGTGGCATGTGTTGCCGTGTGTGTGTACGGTACCCTCATGTACTATGAAATCGGTGATCTCGTTGGTGGTCGTTGGTGGGGGACGACGGTCCCAGGAGGGAAAAGGTTGGACTAAGAAGTACAGGGGTCCTGGAGGTAATGGTTGGAAAGAAGAAACAAGGTTGGGGGTAGCCATAAGGTTGGAACCGGCATAAAGCAGGCATATCAACTCGTGATGGGTGATGTCACGAGGGCTATTGTAGCCATTGTGGTGAGTTCTTCTCTTGTGACGTGTGTAGTCACAAAGGCATGTGTTGCCTTGGCATGTGTTGCCGGTAGTGTGAGTCTTATTCCTTTGCGTTGTGCTTGTCGGGTTTTGATCTATTGAGTGATGATAGATCATGCCTTGACTCCTTTTGTGAGTCATGTTGTTCTTTGTGGTCTTGGGATGTGTTCCCGTGTTATTGTTGAGAGTGTTGAGTCTTGTGTTGACTATTGCTCTTGGTTTTGTACTTATATACTTATGTATTCCGTTTCGAAAATGGCTTTATAACTTATATCTTACTGATGTATGATATTTCACATGTATTGGTGGGTTACCAGCATTATTCGCTGACCGGGCGTCATCCCATGTTTATTTGTGATCTTTCAGGTGATGTCTAAACGAGAGCGCAGTCTAGTACCCGATAACTTAGCTCCTTTCGTTTGTTTTATGGCCTGTGTGCCTATCTAGTTGTAGGCTTGTGAGCTTTGGGATAGTGTAACAATGCAGATTTGGCCATAGCGTTCATTCTTGTTGATGAACGTGGCATAACACCCCATGACTTGGATTTGTGTTTATCCAGTTACCTTTTTGTATTCCGCTGTGCTAGTTGTTTGTTATGTTATCTGCATGTGTTAAAGCTTTTTATAGCTTGCGTTTTGGGGGGGGGGGGGGTGTTACAGTTGGTATCAGAGCCTAGGTTTGAGCCTAGGAAGGGTTAAGTCTAGACTTTCTAAGTCGCTAAGTGTGGTTTGACCCCTTAAGCGACCTTAAGAAACTAAGTGTTAGGCTTAAGATTCTAGGTTGCGCGGTGAACTGTGTGTTGCTTTCTGTTCTTTGCTTGTTTGTTATCTTTTGGTAATCGTGTTGTTGTTGTAGAAGTTGCGATGCCTCCTCGTCCCCGAGCTCGCACCCCGGAGACCTTGACCAACGAGCAGCTCGCTCAAAATCTCCACCAGCTGACTTAGACCATGCAGACGCTCAGTGAAGCTTTGTTGAACAACAATCACGCTGTGCCGCCTCCTCCCCCTGCTGGACACCGTGATATAGGTCGTTTGGTGTCGGGACATCGGCCGCCAACCTTCGCCGGCGAGGAAGACCCGGTAGTCTTGGAAGAGTGCCTACGGGTGTTTGACAAGATCTTCACCATTGTGGGTTGCCCTGAAGAGAGAAGAGTGGAACTGGCAACGTTCTACTTTTGACATGAAACGTATTTGTGGTGGGTCCATGAAGGCCCGGTTTTTCTTGAAGAACCCGAGTTCGACTGGACCGCGCTTAAGGACAGAATGCGCGAGAGGTTCTACCCAGCACATGTGCGCGCCGCCATGTATGAAGAGTTTCTCCACCTGCAGCAAGGATCCATGTCTGTGGTTGCATACCACAAGAGGTTCGTGGAGTTGGCATGTTTTGCGAGGATGCTTATGCCTACAAAGCTCGCTAAAGTCGAGAAATTCGTGGCCGGTTTGAACTATGAGGCGCGAAAATCTTTGACTGTGAGTAGGCTGAGTTCTCCTAAGGACGCTTACGTGTGTGCCGCTGATCTGTATCGCGTGCAGCAGCTTCAGAGAGGATCGTTCGAGCAAGCTAGGAAGAGGATTGAGGGCGGAGGTTCTTCTACATTTAAGAAGCCAAGACCAGGTTTTCAGGCCAAGAACGTGTCATCTTCATCTCAAGGACCTAACAGAGTGGAGCATCAGGATCAAGCTAAGGCTGCTGTTTGCCGTAGGTGCGGGAAAGTGCACGCGGGCCAAGATTGTCATGGCCAGGCGTTTAGGTGTTTCCGATGCGGGGAGCATGGTCACAAAGTCGCGGAGTGTCCCCAGCTAGCCGGTCAGAGAGCGTTGCCGCCACCCCCGGGAGCCGGAGGAGCATCGGGAGTTGGTTCGGGTCGTGGGAGGGTCTTCGTGATGGCGCGTTGGCAGGCTGAGTCGGAGGGCTTGATGGAGGATGAGTTGGCAGGTAACCCTTTTTCCTAGCCTATCCTTGTTTTCCGCGATCATCGTGTTCCTTGTTGCCTTGAGTGTTATCTTCTGTTTCGTAGTTGTCTATTTGAGTTATGTGGCAATCCTTGGCATGCCTTTCTTTGGTAGTAATTCTTTCAAAGCTTAATATAAACTCTTCTTGCTAAGTGACTTCTTTAGTTTGGCATATAAGTTTCGTTGTGAAGTTAGCTATTCATCTTTGGAATGAATTGTGCTTGGGTCAATTCTACAATCCTTATACTTAGTTGTTCTTACAACAATTCCTTTGTAAACTCTCTAAATTTTCCAAGTATTCTTTGAAAATGGAAAATAGCAAAATTTATATAAAAAATTTCTTCGTGTGTAGCTTAAAAGTCAAGCCTAATGTTTAATTAGAGAAAATTTCAATTTTGGTCCATTGACTATTAGTGGTGTGTTAATTGCAGCACTTGACTATTAAAACTGTTAATGTAGTACCTTGACTATGTAATTTCTATCAATTTTGGTCACGCCGGCCAAATTAATGGCGAATTTCCACCGGAAAAATGTTAGTCAAACATTTCTCCGATTTGGCAGGGACAAATAAGACATTTCACGTTGCTAATATGGTTGGTCTGTCTGGGTTGTTGACCATGAAGCTACCCGACCCCAATTCAAAACGATCTGTCTAGGCAGCTCTGATCTGCTTTTTACTCCTCTCCTATGCTTTGATTAACTATAAAATTTTCTATTTTGTCACCATCATCGCCGACTGCCTTATTCAGATCTGAAGACCAATCACGTTGGTGTTCTTCTATCTGATCTGGTGGAAGAACATACAGAGTCTTATATATCTCCTTCGTCTAGCTTCCTGCAAATGAGTAAGTAACATTATATATATTATATTATTGGGGAAATTAAATCTGAAGCTAATAATTAACCACTTGAGATGTTACTTTGTTGATGGAGATGGAATGACAGACTTACCATTGCTGAATTGAAGATGCTTAGGCCTTTCCGGTAATCTGACCCTTGCTGAATTGAAATTAAATCTGAAGCTCGTGCCATTGAAGAACATCATGATGATTCTACAATAGTTAATTTTGATTATGCCTTTCAGCCTTAGCATAATTTTGATTTATTTTCAAAACTATTAAAATTTTACCTACCTACCGTAGTTTAATTTTTCCGGTTTCAATCTCCGTTAGCCGGACTCGACCGACGACCGTGTAAAGAAGAAAATCTCGCTTTTGGTCGCCACCCGTAGCAGGTCTCGACCATCGTCGCTCCGTTGCTGGCGAGTGTGCGTATGCGCTGGATTTGGATAGATGAAACTAAACTGTGAAATTTGATTGTGTTGTAGTAATTCATGGCTTCAAGGAGAAGTTCACGGAGGCTGCCAGGAGAAACGATGTTAAAGGTATTGTTTTGACTGGTGAATTCTTAGTTCCTAATTTTTTTTTTTTTTTTGGTTCAGTTAATTTATGTGAAGTCAATTGATGTTGAGCGGTTATATTCCAATTAATTCGGGTCGGGTAGCTTCATGGTCAACAACCCGGACAGACCAACCATATTAGCAACATGAAATGTCTTATTTGCCCCTGCCAAATCGGAGAAATGTTTGACTAACATTTTTCCAGTGGAAATTCGCCATTAATTTGGCCGGCGTGACCAAAATTGATAAAAATTGCATAGTCAAGGTACTACATTAACAGTTTTAATAGTCAAGTGCTGCAATTAACACACCACTAATAGTCAATGGACCAAAATTGAAATTTTCTCTGTTTAATTATAACCTTTGAGATTCAAACTCAGGCCTATCCTTTGTCAACCCAACCTTTAACCCATTTGAGCTAATTGTTTTAATAGAACCTATCCAATTTTAATTCTATCTAAACCATAAATTCCCACTTTACCCAAAATCCCCAAATTAAATCATCATTTTCCCCAATTTCTCCCAAATCCCTAAAATTCCAAATTCTCTTCTTCTTCTTTTCTTCCCACCCGTGTGTAGCCAAAACCTCATCCCCTACCCGTAGCTTCACGCAACCCGCCGCCACCACCTACCCGTCGCTGTGCCACCGCCATGCCGTCGACGCACCACCAGAGCCGCCGTGCCGCCTGCTGCTGTGTCGCCGGGAAGCCGATCGAGCGAGAGAGAGAGGAGAGCAGCGAGAGTGAAGAGGAAGTTGTGGGCACCTTTCTGTTGAGCTTTGGGTCATCTCCTACCATGCCTAGAAGATCAAGTTTGGCTAGAAAAGCGGAATGGGTGGATACCCACTACCTTGTTCTTGAAGGTAAAGCTTTTGACCCGGAATCTTTTCCTTATTCTTTGTTGGATATGCTTATATTCCAGGGTTTGTTGGATGGGTTTCTCGCCATCACGGCTGAGACTTACCCGATTTTGGTTAAAGAGTTTTATCGTCACATGGTTGTGACAAAAGAGGGTGAGAAGCTTGAGATCACTTCCAAAGTGAGAGGTGTAAAGTTGGTGCTTTCTGAAAAGAGGCTGGCTCAGCTTTTGAGTTTGACTGCTTCCGGAGTGGCTCAGTATAATGGTCATTCCTGGATTAGTACGGATACCATGGGGTACCGGGACTACTTGAGCTACTTGTTAGGCCGTACGAGTGGTTTCACTCAAGCTTGAAGGCCGGAGAAGAAGTGGTTGACTGCGGAGCAAAGGATTTTGTTAATGTTGGTATCGGATTGTTTGTTGCCTAATAACCGTTGGTCCCAAAAGAGGTAAGGTGAAAGTCTAGAGAGAGGGAGGGGGGGGGGGGGGGTGAATAGACTTTCAAACTTTTTCGCACAGCACAACAATTGCTAAGCCAGAGATAAACCAAAACTCTTAACTAGATTGTTAGAGTATGGTGCACAGCGGAATTAAATAAAGATAAAGTGTGTGTGAGATTGTGTGAGCAGTATATCTCGTGTAGAGCAATTATGTAAAGAGCAGTAAGTAAAGAAAGCAGTAAAGAACACAAGACAATTATAGTGGTTCGCGAGGTGGTGTAATCCTCCTACTCCACTTGCTCTTCTCTCCAAGAGCAATTCACTATATCTGCCACTTCATGGTTCCAAGATACAATGAATTTCCATGATCTAGTGCTTTGATCACAAAGCCCGCACTAATCATGCCTAGTGACACCACACTGCTGCTTCGGGTTTCACGTCGCCGCGCTACTATCCCAGGATTTTACGACTCCGCGTTACTTTCCTCCCGTCTTCCACACTCCGGTAGAAACGTATCCCGTGATCTAGTGCTTTGATCACAAATCCCGCACTAATCACGTCCAGTGCCTCCGACACTGCTGCTTCGGATCTCACAGCTCCGTGTGACAATCCAGGATTTCACAGCTCCGTGCTACTTTCCTCCCTTCTCTTGTTTTGCTCCAAAACAAGTGTTGTCTTGCTTCCAACTTCTGAGACTCTGTAGTTGATCTTCAATGATGCGCAGGTCTCTTTGATGAAGATTAACACTCTGGAATGATTTCTCTTGAATGCTCTGAGTGTTTTCTCTCTTTGAGTGTATCAAGTAATGCACTTGATTTTTATGCTCTGTTTAGCTCTGTTTAAGAACTCTCAGAATATTTTTCTCTTTGAAGCTCTCTGAGTTCTTTTTCTTTTCTCACTTCTCACTTGAAGATTTTTGGTATGCTCTGTACCAAATGAGATTTTTGCTCTATTGCTCTATTCGTTCCCCTTGATGAGTTCGTAATCTTTGCTCTTCTCTTCAAGTCTTCATATCTTCATCATTTTATAGGTGGTAATGAGAATCTGTCCGTTGGAAAGAGACAATCTCATTTTTGAAATATTGTATCTTTTGTCAGAGATCTTATCTTATCTTCTGCAAAGATGTCAGAAAGGATAAGCTAGCCGTTTGAGAGCTTGAACTTCATGCGAATGGTTTCCCAAACTTCATCTGATATTCCTCTGGTTTTACGTTGAGTGGGAATATCTGGGTGTAGAACGACTTCTCTGATTAGCTCTGAAGTGGTCCTTGTATCTTTGGGATTTAAAAATATTCCTCAATTTAATCCCATACTAGTTAAACTAGTATTTTTCCTTGTGAGAATATTTTCACTGTAAGTTCATCTTCATCTTCTTCATTCTCTCGTCTGGGTGTTCTCAGACTTCAAATGACTTGTAATTGACTTTGACTTGCAATTGGCTCCCAGACTTCTCCTGGTATTGATTTTTTGCAATTGGCTCCCAGACTTCTCCTGGTATTGATTTATTTCAACCAATTTCAATTGACATTGCTTTATTTCAACCAATTTCAATTGACTTGATTGCTTCATTTCAACCAATTTCAATTGACTTGTAATTGGCTCCCAGACTTCTCCTGGTATTGATTTTTGTAATTGACTTTGACTTGGCCAAACTTCTCCACTTCTCCGACTTTGACTTGCAAGACTTCTCCTGGTATTGATTTTCCTGGTATTGATTTTTGTAATTGACTTTGACTTGCAATTGGCTCCCAGACTTCTCCTTCTTTTAATTGGCCCCATTTTGAAATTGCATCCCATACTACAATCTCAATTGGCTCCCAATTTCAATTCCCTTGTGAAACTTGCTCCCACAATCTCAATTGGCTCCCAATTTCAATTCCCTTGTGAAACTTGCTCCCAATTTCAATTGATTTCAATTTCTCTGAAACTAGTAGCTAGCTCCCAATTTCAATTCCTTCAGCTCCCAATTCCTTTGAATTGCTCCCAAGTGGCAATTGCTTCTTGCTTCTCAATTGCCACTTGCAATTAGCGCCCAATGCCAAACTAGTGCCCAACTCCATCAGATTTAATTAGATTTGGCTTCTCAAATTTTACCTTGAAAAATTATTGATGGTGAGATTCGAACTTAAGCCATTTCACATAATATATCAAGCATCACCCACTTCATCCATACAACTATTGATTAAATCTCCAATCTTCTTTGATGTACTCCTTTCTTTCCATAGATGCTTGATCTCCAAGTCAATTTCATGCATTCTTCCAATCGTAATTTTCTTCATCGAAAATTCCTCTGGCATATTTCTTTGAGTAGCATTGACGTGATTTCATATCATTCATCTTCTTCTTCAATTTGTCATTTTCTCCAGACAAATTCTTGATTTTAGGCTTTATATCTTCTTCTTCTATTTTCATGCATCTTCCTCTGTTTTTCTCTTTTCCAATTTAAATAATTTCCTGATCATGGTCTTAGACTCTACTAGACTTATGAAATAAAATTGGGGGATCTACAAATACATATTTGGCATATCAAAACCATTACACTTTATTCCTAACAATTTCCCCCCTTTTGATAATGCCAAAACCTATACTCAGTCATTGGCTTTAAGTCTTTGAAAAATAATCTTTTTGCTCAATTTTATTTGACAAAGCCAAGATGAGTTTAACAGATGGTTTTCTAGACACAATCAAAAGAAAACTTGTGAATTAATTTTTAGACAAGCTCCTAAACGCATCTTCAATTATTTTATTTTTGATCATCATTTTTTTTTAAATTTTTATGAGCGTTTTGACATTCCTTGTCTTTTAAATTCACGAAGGTCTAATTACATCAGATAAATAAAATACTAAACTCAAAATAGACCATGGGAAATTATTATTGATATATTTCGAATTTTTTGAGAAAAACGCAACAGAGGTTCGAAAATAGCAGAAACATCAGCTTAAGAGATTTTTCAGATTACCTTCTGGGTTTCTTCTCACCAGAGTCTTTCTTCAAAATTTCCTTGACATGTTCTCTTAGCTTGAAGAAATCATCTTTGAACTTTGCATTCTGAAATCTCTTTGTAACTTGCCCGGCCATGTAATATCCAAAAGCTTCTTTGATATTATTGCCTTGAAGAACTCCAGCTTCCCACCACAAGACACATTCTTCGAAGCTTCTTTCTTCTCCAAGATTCATGCCCATATTTCCAGTGAAATCTCTTAGTTCATACCACATCTCGGTTCTCTTCCGTTTGCCTTCTTCTTCTTTATTCTTATCCGAGATCCATTGGGCTTGATCGGCTGCAGGCAGTTTTTTGATCATTCTTGGTAGATTTTCCTTAGTCCATATTGTTGTCTGAGTGGCGGTACCTTTAGAACATTCAAACCAGCCATGAGTTTCAGCAACTTTCGATGTACTCGTACCAAGACTAGGATTCGCGAACTGAGCAAAACCAATCTGAGGTGGTCCTTATGAGGATTGTCCGCGGCTTCGGCCTCTACCTTGAGTAGATATTACTGGCTGTTGTTGGCTTCCAAGAATAAATTCTTGTTGTTGCAAAGCCAAGTGACTGAGAATTTCTTCCCCCCTTTTGGCGTTATCAACCAAAAATGCAAGGGTTTTACAATCTCGGTCTTGGTTTGCCTTCACAGCTTCAACACTATTGTGTGTTTCAATGGAAACGGTTTGTACGTTGTCCAGCTTGTTTGTTGTAACTGCGAGTTCAACTTCAAGTTTGTTGATTCGACTTTCTTGGTCTTGAATCGCCTTGATTTGTCTTAAGTGGCGTTCGTTGTGAATCTTTTCAGCAGCTTCACGTTCCTTCTTCATGAGTTGAATCACTTCA